TACAAACCAGTACCATGGTACAAACCAGTACCATGGTACAAACCAGTACCATGGTACAAACCCCAGTACCATGGTACAAACCCCAGTACCATGGTACAAACCAGTACCATGGTACAAACCAGTACCATGGAATGGTACAACCCAGTACCATGGTACAAACCAGTACCATGGTACAAACCAGTACCATGGTACAAACCCCAGTACCATGGTACAAACACCAGTACCATGGTACAAACCAGTACCATGGTACAAACCAGTACCATGGTACAAACCAGTACCATGTACAGCAAGCTGGGGCTGAGAACCTGCTGTGGTCCTGAAACAACAAATGTTTTATTAATGAGAGCATTTCCAGGAATTAAATTAGGTTTAAAACTGATTGAAAATATGTTTTTACTATATTTGATTAAAAAAAAACACTTAGATGTGGATAAAAACAATTAGTCTATTAGTAACATTTGAGTAAACTAAAATACTTTGATTCATGAGTTTCTGCTGGTTTTGTTCAGGCTGGTTAAACCAGAGCCTGTCCTTCACTTTGCTTCGTACCAGGACCAGAGAAGAACTGGAGGAAGGTAAAGGCAGGCTAGTTTTTGTTATTTTTGTCATTTGTGTTTGTGAAATTGATCTTAAACTTAATTTCACTTGGCATAAAGAAGTCTTAAATTTACCTGTCCTTAAAGGAAGCCTGGGTACATACATGTGGTCATAATGTTCTGGCTGTTTGGTGTTACATTAGAACAGTTTAGAACAGAACATGTGAGTGGGCTGGAATCAGCTCAGGTGGTTGAGCGCGCCGCGCGGCACCGCGCCGCGCTCTCCTGCCGCTGCCGCGCGGCGCCGCTCACCGGAAGAGGAAGAGCAGACAGCTGCTGACGATCGCCGGTTTTTCTGATGAAATCTCCCAGCGGAGCCACAGCGGAACGACGCGGCGGCTGAAGCTCCAGTGTTCCCAGCACCGAGCAGTATTACCGGAGGGAGGATAAAACAAACCTCGACAGCCGATGAAGGAGCGGATTTAACCGGACTGTTTGAATTCTTCACTCTGAGGAATCATAGTCGCCTGTGCTAAGCTAGCTTTGCTAAGCTAACCTGCTAACTAGCAGCCTCGCGCCGCGTCACGGAGAGTAACCGGACAAGATGGCTCCTCGTTCCTCTTCATACCAGTATTTCTCCTCGTTTCACAGCTGCAGTCTGCTGAACCCGGTTCTGTTCTCTGACTCCGGAACCACACGAAAGAAGTCCAAACAGCACTCTCACCGAAATGTTCCCGGCTCAGGTTTTATGGACCGTATTTTCTGGGTTCCGTGCGCCGCCTGTCAGTAACGTTTGACAGCTGTCAGATTAGCAGCTAGCTGAGTTAGCTTTAGCCTGTGTGCTAACCTGCTATTTTTAGCTTTAGCCTGTGTGCTAACCTGCTATTTTTAGCTTTAGCCTGTGTGCTAACCTGCTGCCAGTGTTAGCTGTAGCCTGTGTGCTAACCTGCTATTTTTAGCTTTAGCCTGTGTGCTAACCTGCTATTTTTAGCTTTAGCCTGTGAGCTAACCTGCTGTCAGTGTTAGCTTTAGCCTGTGAGCTAACCTCCTGTCAGTGTTAGCTTTAGCCTGAGCTAAGTTGCTGCCAGCTGTTTCCTGAGGAGGCTCTACTCTCTGCACGTCCTTCAGTAAAATGTTCAGGAGCATGGACAGTGAGAGGCGTCTCTCTGACGGGCAGAGGTCATCCAGCAGGGCGGTGGTGGGGGGTCAGGACAGCTCGTGGGTGGGCCTGCTGTCCCGGCCGGCGCTGTCTCTGCTGCGGAGGCTGCGGCTGTGGAGCGCGGCTCCTCTCAGCAGCTCCGCCGGGGCAGAAGAGGAGTTTTTCAGAGAATTCACAGATATTTTCCCGCTGACTCAGTCTGGAGCTCCGCCCCTCAGCTTCACGCGCTGTCAGCACCTGGGAGCCGCGGGCCTGCTGGAGCCGGGGGCCGGGGGCTCACAGCTCGGCTCTTTGTCTTCTGTCAGGACGGTTCTGAACCAGGTTCTGCTGAACCCACAGGAGCTGCAGTCCATGGGGGGGCAGGCCTGGATGTCAGTGAGCCCCCCGGGGAGGACAGGCTCTGCAGGTAAAGGTGGGCCGTGGTGGGGCAGCCTTCTGTGGGAGGAGGACACCTCACAGGGGGGGTCCTGGCCCAATGGGGGGGCAGAGACAGACCGGCTTTGTCCTCCAGCTGCAGCAGGGACAAAGGCCCCCCCTGTTCAAACCAGTTCTGTGTTAGACTGGATGCTGGGAGAAAAGTCTGGACCCCCTCACAACAAGATCCTTCACACAGTCCAGGACTCAGTGGACCAGCTGAGCCACACTCAGGGGGGTCAGGACCTGGGCTACTCTAGTCTGGAGGAGGAGCTGTCCTACAGGGGCCTCCAGTCCCTGGTCAGGGTCCCAGGTGAGGAGCAGTGTGGGGGGGTGAGGGTCCCAGGTGAGGAGCAGTGTGGGGGGGTGAGGGTCCTCTCTGCCCCCCAGTGTCAGAACAAAACCATTGCCTTCATTATGGGCTGTCCCTGCAGCGACGACAGCCAATCAGAGTCCACTGATGGTGATGATGATGATGGCTTCAACAGTGAGAGCTCCTCTGATTGGTCAGACTCTGATGAGGATGATGAAGATGAGGAAGAGTCAGACTCTGACAGTGGACCAGACTCAGACTCTGAGCGCCTCTGGACCTCTTTCTGCCCAGCTGTGGATCCATACAACCCTCAGAACTTCACGGCCCACCTACAGACAGGCAGAGACCCCCCTCAGACCACCCTGACCCCCTCCCCTCAGCCCGGCCCCTCCCCCCCACCTCAGGACGTGTGGGACGACTCAACATCTGCCAGTGAGGTGGACGAGGCTGAAAGTCTTCGTCTCCTGAGCTCCCTCAGCTGCTCCTCTGACCCCTACAGCCCCTTTAACTTTCAGGCCCCCATCAGGACCCACGCAGCCCCTGGACCCCCCAGACCCGCCAAGACCAGGGTCAGAAGCAACACAGCCCCCCTGACTCCGGTCCACGACCACAAATCTCCACCTGAATACAAGAAGGAGGAGGCCGAGGAGAGGCTGGACAGTGGCTTCTCAGAGGCCCCGCCTTCTGCCTCAAGCTCCGCCTCTCTGGCACAGAGCTGCAAGAACCTTAAGAAGGTCAGTTCACTTCCTGTTTACTTCCTGTTGTCCTGCAGCTGTACTTCCTGTTGTCTTGCAGCTGTACTTCCTGTTGTCCTGCAGCTGTACTTCCTGTTGTTCCTGGATAGTTTTGAAGTTTTGTGGTTGTAAAACAAAGTCCATGTGGGTCAAACACAGACTTGAAGTCAGAACCTTCAGCTGTAAAAACCAGTCTTTACAAGGGTTGGATCTCAGAACCAGTCAGAACTGGACTATCAGACTGGATTCTTCAGGGTGTTTGAAGGAAGAACAGAGATGATGATGATGATGAAGAAAAGATGTTGGTTTTATTTGAAGTGAAGAGTTTAGGGGCAGAGGTCAGAGGTCAGGGGGCGTGGCTTCACTGTCTGCAGGTCAAGAAGTCTGAACTGGTTTGAACTCGTGTGCTGGCTCAGTTCCCTGGACTCACCTGTGCTTCTCCTGTCAGGTCCGGTTCTGCGACCAGGTGGACGAGTTCTTCGCCAGCTGTGGGGAGGAGGAGGAGGAGGAGGAGGACCGGCGTGGCCCGTGGGAGGAGCTGGCCCGGGATCGCTGCCGGTTCCAGCGGCGCTGTGAGGAGGTGGAGCAGAGCATCGGGTTCTGTCTGCAGCCACAGCACCGCCATCGGGTCCTCCAGAGACTCGCAGTCCTCTCTGAGTCCTGAGGACGTCCCCTACAGGTGGACAAGTCCAAACAGCAGGGAACCGTCTGGTTCTGACCCGTGACTGTGTGTTCACCAGGTCTCACCTAACGTCAGGACTTCACCGTGTGCTCGTTCAAAGAATTGATCAGAATTACAGATTAATTTTACAAATATTAAGACTTTTTCTCTTTCAAAGAGAAACAAACTGTGACGGTCTCAGTGGTTCTACAGAACCCATCCATCCTGTCAACAGAACTGTGAGCCGGTGTGTTAACGAGCTCGTTACAGGGGGAGGAGCCACAGGTATTAATTATCCTATTAAAGCCAAAGATGGTCGAGTTAATGAAGTAAAATGTTCTGAGAGTCAGGATTCAGCTGCTGATCGGATCACTGTGGTTCTGCTTATGACCTGTGGGTCAGGGGGGGCGGGGTCAGGTTGGTCAGAGGGGGCGGGGTCAGGAGGCCGTCTGACCGTACCTGCAGTGATTATCTGTGAGATGGAAGGAGGACGTCTCAGGACCTTTGTTTGTGAAAGAATCTTGATTCTGAGCTGAGAGGAAGTGAAGGAATCTGATCAAAGTGTTTGATAGAAATAAATGAAACCTAATCAGTAAGAACAGGTCACCTGGCCAGGTGAGGCCGACCTGCAGAGGTCATGTGACCTCACTCCTACCTTTAACATGAGGAACACAAAGTGTTTTCAGGACTGAAAACAAAAAACAGAGTGAAACGTCTCAGTCTAACAGGATCTTTGGTGTTATTTTAAATCAAAGTTTATATTTTTCTAATTCAGAGTTTGACTGATGTTCATCTGATCTTCATCTCCTCACAGACTGATGATGATGATGATGATGAGTTAATAAATCAGGTTCTGATCATCCAGATTCTCTGCTTTTTATTTACAAACAAACAGGATGCTTCTCTGGGTTTATTTACAAACAAACATGATGATTCTCTGGGTTTATTTACAAACAAGCAGGATGCTTCTCTGGGTTTGTTTACAAACAAGATGCTTCTCTGGGTTTGTTTACAAACAAACAGGATGCTTCTCTGGGTTTATTTACAAACAAACAGGATGCTTCTCTGGATTTATTTACAAACAAACAGGATGCTTCTCTGGGTTTATTTACAAACAAACAGGATGCTTCTCTGGGTTTATTTACAAACAAACAGGATGCTTCTCTGGGTTTATTTACAAACAAACAGGATGCTTCTCTGGGTTTATTTACAAACAAACATGTTTCTCTGGGTTTGTTTACAAACAAACAAGATGTTTCTCTGGGTTTATTTACAAACAAACATGATGATTCTCTGCTTTTTATTTACAAACAAACATGATGCTTCTCTGGGTTTATTTACAAACAAACAAGATGCTTCTCTGGGTTTATTTACAAACAAACAAGATGCTTCTCTGGGTTTATTTACAAACAGGAAGAGTATCTGGGTTTATTTACAAACAAACAGGATGCTTCTCTGGGTTTATTTACAAACAAGATGTTTCTCTGGGTTTGTTTACAAACAAACAAGATG